AGGATTTAAGGGCATGGAACATATGTGAAGTCTCTTCACTTCACCCCTCATCCACATACTCCTCTACCCTGGAGGCAATGTCATCCATTCCTTCCAAATTTTATTTAAATCCAAGAATATTCTAACCATCCTTCTACAGCTTGCTTGTTTTTTTTCAATCAGCATTATATTTCTGAGACCTACATTTTGAAATATGTAGATCCAGATGGCTCATTTTATGTTCCATAATAGTGTTGTCCAATAGAACTTTCTGCAGTGATGGAAATATTCTATATCTGCATTGTCTAATATTGTACAGCAAACCATATGTGGCTACTGAGCATGTGAACTTTGGCTAATAGCATTGAATAACTGAATATAAATTTTAAAATGTAAAACAGATTTTTTTTGGCCATGCTAGGAATTGAACCTAGGATCTTATGCATTTTAGACACACATTCTACCACTAAGCTACGTACCCAGCCCCTAGTATTAATTAAAAGTTTCCAAAGCCACCAGACGTCAGTGGCTCATATCTGTAATTCTAGCTTCTCAGGAGTCTGGGATCTCATGATCGTGGTTCAAAGCCAGCCTGGGTAGGAAAACCTGTGAGACTTTTTTTTTTTTGCAGTTGTGGGCTTGGGCATTGTCCCTGAGCTCTTTTGCTGAAGTCTAGATCTCTACTACTTTGAGCCACAGCTCCACTTCTGGTTTTCTGGTAGTTAATTGTAGATAAAAGTCTTGAGGCTGGAAAGGTGGCTTAGTGATAGAGTGCTTACCCTGAATGCATGAGGCCCTGGGTTTGATTCCTCAGCACCACAAGCAGAAAAAGCCAGAAGTGGTGCTGTGGCTCAAGCAGTAGAGCACTAGCCTTGAGCTGAAGAGCTGAGGGACAGTGTCCAGGCCGAGTTCAAGCTCCATGACTGCCCCCCCCCCAAAAAAAAACCCAAATAAATAAATAATTAAAAAAATAAAAAAATTGACTATGGGCCAGGCATAGGAAGAATGCTAGACACAGTGGGTATAAAGTCTGCAGGTGGCCACACCCGAGGCACCAGAGCCCATAACACTTTTTGCTGTTGGGGGCTAAGAGATGGACCCCCAGGGCCTGTACTACACTAGAGGGCACCACCTGTTACTATTTGCTGTTTTCTACCTCTGCTGCTCACAATGATTACAAAAATATGTCCAGGGTCACTGGAAGAGCTTCTCCTGTCTACACATCTGGGTAGAGCAGAACCCCAACCAGCTGATTGAAGCAATAGATGGATAGTCATATGTGCACATATTCACACATATTTCTATTCACACATATTTTTCTTTCTTTCTTTCTCTTTTTCCTTTCTTTTTTTCTTTCTTTCTTTTTTTGTCAGTCATGGGGCTTGAAATTTGGGCTTGGTACTGTCCCTGTACTCTACCACTTGAGCCACAGTGCCACTTCCAGTTTTCTAGTGGTTTATTGGAGATAAGAGTCTCACGGACTTTCCTGCCTGGGCTGGCTTTGATCCTCAGATCTCAGCCTCCTGAGTAGCTAGGATTACAGGCATGAGCCACCAGCACCTGGTCTCATACATATTTCTTATTGTTCCCCTTTGGTAGTACTGGGATTTCAACTCAGGACCTTGTGATGTTGCCCAGCCCTTGTGGTTTATTTCTCAGATATGGTCTCATGTTTTTGTTTTTGTTTTGCCAGTCCTATGGCTTGAACTCATAGCCTGGGCACTGTCCCTGAGCTTCTTTTACTAGCACTCTACCACTTGAGCCACTGTGCCACTTCTGGCTTTTTCTGTGTATGTGGTACTGAGGAATCAAACCAGGGCTTCATGAATATAAGGCAAGCACTCTACCACTAAGCCATATTCCCAGCCAAGTCTCACATTTTTGTCTAGACAGGCCATGAACTGATATACTCCTTCCTGTGACTCTCAAGTAGCTGTGATTATACACGTAAACCATTATACCCAGCCTATTTGTTGAGACAGAGGTTTTACTTTCTACCCAAGCTGGCCTGATTCTTCTAATCTCTGCCTCCTAAATACCTGGGATTACAGGAGTGAGCCATCATGACCAACTCATATTTCAAAAGGTATGAAAAGATAATCAGGATTCTCCTCCCTCCCAGCCCCCCCCCACCCCCGCCCTGGGTCCTGGGGATTGAACTCTGGGCCTGGGCGCTGACTCTGAGCTTCTTTTGCTCAAGGCAAGCGCTCTACCACTTGGGCCACAGAGCCACTTCAGGCTCACGCCTGTAATCCTAGCTAGTCAGGAGGCTGAGATCTGAGGATCGCAGTTCAAAGCCAGCCCGGGCAGGAAAGACCGTGAGACTCCTATCTCCAATAAACCACCAGAAAACTGGAAGTGGCGCTGTAGCTCAAGTG